CAAAATCATACCATATATTTTCTAAGATGAAAATAGAATAATACTAGAAATTAACGCCCGGAGAAATACTCAAATATACACAAAGTCATGGAGAAACTAAGATGGAAATCAAACCATTCCCCAAACAAAATGACAAAAAGGACAAAAGCTTTCAAAATCTATGAGATACAGTAGAAGTCACAAGGGGAAATTGATAGCTTCAAATGTCTATACAAGAGGACAAAAAGACCAAAAATTAACACCCAAATGTCACATCTTAAGGAAACAGAAAAACAAGAGCAAACCAAACCCAGAGCTGCTAGCAGAAGAAAAGAAATAGACAGCTGGGCAGTGGCACGTGCCTATAATCATAGGTCCCTGGGAGGCTGAGGTGGGAGGAGTCTCAGATTACCCTAAGCAAGGCTAAGACCTTGTCTCTATCAGGAAAAAAAAAAAAAAAATAGAAAATAAGTGGGTGTGGTGGCACGTGCCTGTAGTACCAGCTGCTCAGAAGATTAAAGCAGGAGAATTGCATGAGCCCAAGAGGTTGTAGAAAGCTATGATAATAACCACTGTCCAGGTGACAGAGCCAAGATACTGTCTCAGAAAACAGCTCGGAGCAGAACTAAACAAAATGGACCCCCCCCAAAAAATACAAAGGATCAATGAAACAAAAAGTTGGCTCTCTGAAAAGACAAACAAAATTTCAATAGAAATCTAGCTATTGTGACCAGAAATAGAAAACAAAGGATCCAAATCAGCTCAATCAGAAATGAAAAAGGAGATATTACAACTCATACCACCACAGAAATATCCATAAATACTATGAAAATCTCTACACACATAAACTAGAAAACGTAGAGGAAATAGTGAAATTCTAAGAAAAACACAACCTCCTAAGATATATTGGATATAGATATACTGAATAGACCAATAACTAGCAGTGAGAATGAAGCAGTAATAAAAATTCTCACAACAAAATAAAAGACCCATATAATACAGATTCACAGCCAAATTTTACCAGACCTGCAAAAAAAATCTGGCATCTATCCTACAGCAATAATCAAGAGAATGAATCGACAACCTACAGAATGGAAGAAAATATTCACAAATTATATAGCCAGTAAAGGGCAAATATCCAGCAAGGAAAGAATTCAAATCAGCAAGGAAAAATCAGACAACCCCATTAAAAGTGGGCAAATGATATAAACAGAAGTTATTCAAGAGAAGGTAGACAAATGCCAACAAATATATGAAGAAACACCAAACATCACTATAATCAGTGAAATGTAAATTATAACCATAATAAGATATCGCTTTACCCTTGTAAGAATGGCCATTATTACAAACTCAGAAAACAACAGGTGCTGGGGTGGCTGCAGAGAGAAAGCAACTCTTATGTACTGTTCGTAAAAAAAAAATAGTACGGGAGTCCTCAAAGAAATAAAAGTAGACTTACCATTTGACCCAGCATTCCCACTACTGGGTATCTACCCCAAAGAAAATAACTCATTTTATCAAAAACATACCTGCAGGCTCAGCACCTGTAGCTCGGAGGCTACGGTGCCAGCCATATACACCGAGGCTGGCAGGTTCGAATCCAGCCCAGGCATGCCAAACAACAATGACAACTACAACCAAAAAATAGCCAGCGTTGTGGCAGGCGCCTGTAAGTTGCAGCTACTCAGGAGGTCATGGCAAGAGAACCACTTACACCCAAGAGTTAGAGGTTGCTGTGAGCTGTGACACCATGACATTCTTCCCAGGGCAACATAGTGAGACTCTGCCTCAAAAAAAAAAAAAAAAAAACCTGAACTCAAATGTTTATCACAGCTCAATTCACAATTGCAGAGATGTGGAATTAACATAAATGCCCCTGAATTCATGAGCAGATTAAGAAAATGTGATACACACACATACACTATGGAATATTACTCAGCCATAAAAAGGAATGAAAGAATGCCTTTTATAGCAACTTGGAGACTACTGTCCTATGTGAAGTACCAAACATACATAGAAGTAAACAGAATAATGAACCCTATTACCCATTGCTCAGTTTCAAAAATTATCAACATATGGCCACTTTTGTTTCATAGATAACCTCTCGCCCATTCTTCAACTCCCCACGTCCCACAAATTATTTTGAAGCAAACACAAGAAAATATGTAAATGTTTGCAAATGTCTCTTTAATAGAAAACTTTATTTTTAAAACCATAACTATAGGTTCATTGTGTCATCTAAAAACTTATAAATAAGTTACAGATTTACAATAAATTATCTAAATAGATACTACATTTACATCAAACTGTAGGGGATACACAAATCAACCCTGGGAAACACTGTGGTGAAGTGGAACTAGCATAAGCTATTTAGAACCAACTTCTATTTTATCAAGCTACCTCAACTCTCTTAGCTTCAGTATCTGAACATGCAATCTGGGAAAGATTATCAAAAAGTCCTCACAGAGTTGTTGAGGAGATTAAATAAGGCAATGTATGCAATGTACATTGAACAGGCTAAGTATTCACTAAATTATTATTGTGTTCTAGCCTGGATGTGTACTAACTTCATATAATTAGGGCAAAGCCATTAGATAAAAATGGAAAATTCCCTAAATTTCTTATCCAGTTGCAAAGTGTGATAGGCAGAATCCTAAAATGTCTTCAAGATTCCCAACCTCTGGTATAAATGCCCCATATCATCCTCTTCCCTTGAGTGTAGTTGAGACTTATAAATATGATGGGATATCATTCCCATAAGTGGGCTACATAGCATTTGACTCTGATTTATAGCATTTGACTCTGATTCAATTAAAAGTGCGATTCTGTTAGGTGAGCCTGGCCTAATTGAAGGGAGCCATTTATAAGACTGAAATGCTTTTCTGCTAGCCTCAAAGATGAAGCAAAATGCCATGTTATAGAAAGAACCCTCTATTTGCTAAGGATCTAAGTGTTACATTTGCAATGAACTTAATTCTGCCAACAAGAGAGCTGCAAAAGTACACAATCTTAGATGAAGGTACAACCCTGGTTAATGTCTTACTCTTAGCATGGTGAGACATTAAGTAAAGAACCCAGGAGAACCTTTATCTAGGCCATTACCAACTTTCTGACCTGTATAACCATAAGATAATAAATCTGTCTTGCTTTAAGAGGTTAGGTGTATGGTAAAATTTTAATGCAGCAATAGAAAACTAATACACAAGTCTGAATTAAGATTTTTTTAACCATACTTTCATCACTGACCTGATGATATTCTTGTGATTAAGGTTTATCTTTGGGATTGGTGATTAGTGCATCTTCACCATGAATGTAGGAAGAGATAATTCATAAAGAAATAATCTACTTATTAACGATGAGTTAGATGTGTTTATGCACTCAAGCAATAATATGAAGAAATTTATATAACTAATAATAGTATAATAAAAGGCAATGAAATGGGAGAACAACTTGGGACAAATGATCAATGAAGTTGTAGTAAAACCTAAGACGTGGCTTGGCGCCTGTGCATCAAGTGGCTAAGGTGCCAGCCACATAAACTTAAGGTGGTGGGTTCAAATCCAGCCTGGGCCCACCAAACAACACTGATGGCTGCAACCAAAAAATAGCTGGGCGTTGTGGCGGGTGCCTATGGTCCCAGCTACTTAGGGGGCAGAAGCAAGAGACTCGTTTGAGCCCAGGAGTCAGAGGTTGCTGTGAGCTATGATGCCACAGCAATCTACCCGGCGGGGGGCAGCTTGTGGCTCTGTCTCAAAAAAAAAAAAGAATATATATATATATATATATAAAATAAAACTTAAGACATGAAATGTATCCTACATCTGAATTTAAGGGTAGAAAAACAGAAAAGACCTACCACTTGACCAACACGTTAAAACCTTAAGTCCAACTTCTTCTTTGGAACTAGGTTTACCCTCCTGCTGTAATCAATTAGAAAACAGACAAAGTATATGAAAAAAACATGTTCAGACATTAGATAAGAGACACCAATAGGATCTTGATCCCTGAGAAAACCAACAAGGAAAGCCTTATATTCTCCCTGAATTGGTGTCTAATGGTACATTCCAGAATCAGGAAAAGAAGGATCCCAAGAAGAGCACTGGAGATGTGCTAAGTTGCTAAGACAAAGATCAGGCTGAGACGACTGGAAGCTGTGGGGCAGAGCTGCAAAGAAAAAAAAAGTAACAGAGCAGCACCTGTGGCTCAGTGGGCAGCGCACCGGCCCCATATACAGAGGGTGGCGGGTTCAAACCCCGCCCCAGCCAATCTGCAACAAAAAAAATAGCCAGGCATTGTGGCTGGAGCCTGTAGTTCCAGCTATTCGGAAGGCTGAGGCAAGGGAATCGCCTAAGCCCAGGAGTTGGAGGTTGCTATGAGCTGTGTGATGCTATGGCACTCTACCATGGGCAATAAAGTGAACTCTGTCTCTACAAACAAAAAATAAAAATAAAAAATAAAAAAAAGGTAACATAAAGACGTATAGAATTCAAAATAAGATTCCCTGTGCCCCGTGAGTCACAGCTAAATAGGAGTAGAACTCTGTGAGGCCAAGCAAAGAATAACTAAAAAGCTGTGAGATAAACAGTTCCCATACAGTGCTATAAGGCATTCTATTTCAACAAGGCAGAGCAGAGTATCTTCTTGTACAACTCAGGACATTCAGTTGAGATCACAAAAGGGCTACACTTTAGAAGTGGGTCAAAATAATTCATAAATTTAAGAGTACTTAAGATGCATATTAATCAAGCTTTTTAAAAAACTACAAAATGAAACTGAACTAAAAGTGACATAAATGCCTGCTGAAACAATGCCAAGCCACCTCTAACACAATTGCATATAGCCACTCAACAATGTCTAATTTACAAAGTCTACTTCTTAACAAATATTACTAGATTTGTTAAGAACAGGAAATATGAATAACAAAGGGAAAAGTAGTTAACAATAACAGACAAGAAATGACAGAGATGATGAAATTGCCAGACAAGCACAGTAAACAGTTGTAATAAATGTTCAAGTATTAATGGTCATGACCAAGGCTTTTAGAAAGCAATTTCTCAATTGCTGTGTATATGACCCTAAAAAAAGACTTTCCGATAGGTTTTCTATCTTCTAAGACTTTGTTGGTACTCAGCCTCCTGGTGACATTTTATTAGCCCATTATTAGACTACTGTTTTACCTTCATTGCCTAAGTGTGAGCACTGTCCAAGTGGAAATACAAACCAAGCAACTGTGATTGCCTAATATATTGTGGGATAAATCCCACAAACTGTGTGCTCACTTTAAACTCCAGAAGCAGGCGGACAGACTTTTGTGGAAAGCAACTCTGTCAAAGACCTGGTAGCCTCGGTCAACATAGAACAGGGTCTGAAGGTTTGGGCGTAAAAACCCATTTTCGGTGACTCTGGCTACGTGGCTGTTAAGCCTGCAAGGAAAGGGTTAAAAGCCTTCCTACAGAGACACAGCCTAGAGGTTGATAAACATAAGTTTATCAGAAAACAGCGGTAGGCCTCCAGGTTGCTTAGAAACAAAGGTCATGAAAACTTGCTTTCTTATTTTAATGAGTGCATAGCAAAACTTCAAAACCTTACTCTCCTGTTGGTAATCTCAAGTCCCTTTTGCAGCTGCCTCGAGTTTTCAAACTCTGTCTCTTTGAAGATTGAACTAACTTTTAAAAAGATTAGTAGTATGTATACTTTACTAGTTAGTTAATTAATAGAGTGTACGTGACCAGCTGGCTGTAAAAGGGTGGTCAAGAACAATGATCTTGGCTACTTCCACCAGAGGAGTAGTTTATCTCTTTCGTTATAATAACTCTAGCAGCAAGACTACACTTGTGGCGACGGTGTCTGTCTCTCGTGAAACCCTCATGCAACAATATATTTTACAGCAGACAGAGCACATAGCTGGATCTCTCATGCCTTTGCAGGAGAGATTTATCTAGCTAATTTTCATTATAATTCTTCCAGATAGCTAATAACTAGGTGGTTTGTTGAACTAATGGAAGCTCATTTTATATGATCATCTCTGGAGATTGAAACTTTTTTTATGTTATTGCTATGTAGGGCTGACAGGCAACTGTGGCTTAAGGATCTGTTCTATTAAAAATCACTGTCTTGGGCGGCGCCTGTGGCTCAAAGGAGTAGGGCACCGGCCCCATATGCTGGAGGTGGCTGGTTCAAGCCCAGCCCTGGCCAAAAACCGCAAAAAAAAAAAAAAATCACTGTCTTGAAGGTAAATCTCTGGTGACTCCAGCCTTTAAGACGATAAGGCCACCCTTGATGGAAAGCAGAAGGAGAATCACATGTGAAATTCCTTGAATAAAAATTTCCTAATTTTGTTTAATGCCATAATAAAAATTAACACTTTTTACACCAAAAATTGTTGAAATAATGAAAAGAAACTGTGAACATGAAACTGTGAACATAACAAAAAAAGGAATGGGAGGTAATAAAAAAATCAAATACCTAAAATGAAAATTGTAGTATACTGTATTTCACTGAATAGGATTAATACCATAATAGTGCAGAAGAAAAGATGAACAAAATTGAAGTCAAAGCAAGAGATACAAAATGAAATACAGAGGGGGAAAAAATGAGGAAACCTGTGGGACAATGTTCAATAGTCTAATATATATGTAACTGGACAGGCACAGCGGCTCACAGTTATAATCCTAGAACTCAGGAGGATCCCTTGAGCTAAGGAGTAGGAGACCAGCCTGGGCAAAAGTGAGACCCAGTCTCTAGTTAAAATAGAAAAGTTAGCCAGACGCTATGGCAGGCACTTATAGTTCCAGCTTTCCAGAAAGCTGAAGCACGAAGATTGCTGGAACCCAGAAGTTAGAAGTTGCTGTGAGCTAATTTGATGCTACCGCACTCTACCCAAGAAAACAGAGTGAAACTCTGTCTCTAAATAAATAAATAATATATATGTAACTGAAGTTCCCACAGCAGAATAGAAAAGAAGAAAATATAAGAAATAATGTCTAGAAGTTTAAAAAAAAACTAATGAAAACTATAAACCCACAAATACGATAAGTTCAAGGAACCCTGAGCAGGATAAATAGAAAGAAAATTAAAATAAACAATTCCCAAAAGCCAATCATTAACAGAAAATCTTAAAGTAACAGAAAAAAATATTTTGAAACAACCTTCAAGAAAAAAAGACACAATATATAAATAACAGCAAAAAGAAGAAATATCACAACAAAATGTCATATAAACAATCAATATCTTTAAATGAGATGAAAAAATATGTATCAATTTAGAATTCTATATCCAGTGAAAATAACTTTCACAACTTAAGTGAAAATACGGAGATCGGCAAAACAATAAAAACAGTAGAAAAAAATTATAGCATTTTACTTGCCCTTAGCCTACCACCTCCTGCGAGGTAACGGTTGTATTTTCAAAGCAGCAGTACCCCAACTCCCTGTACTCTTCCTCAAACCAGAGGGAGCACAGTAGACCTTATCTGCAAATTACCATATACATGTGATTTAGCCTGCCTGGGGGACACCTGAAGGACTGATATAAGGCTCTCACCATTACTTCATTTAACTCAGAACTCTTCTAGGAAAAGACAATACAGGTAGACAGACACATACAAAACCCAGAGAAGACTGGGATGACATAGTTTGGAATTTAGGGCCTTCAAAAACAGACACGTATACAGGATAATTCAGAAAACCATAAATATGCCTAGGCAAGACACGTACTCAGAAAAGACCTAAGTCCCTTAAATTTTTTGCTGAGGCTGATCTTTAGATTCAGTGGAAATTTTACAAAATATGTACAAAATATTCTGTACATCTTGACCACCTCTTTATAAAATTTTATAATTATTATTTTGTAAATAACAGTATACTTAGCTATAATTTCCCATTTTCCCTATGAATAGCAACCTTTGGGGTTACCTCTGGGATATTCTGTACACTGATAAAAGAGCCAATTTTGTGTGCATATGGAGAAAAGGGAACACTTCTACATGGCTGGTGGGAATGCAAACTAGTATGTTCCTTTTGGGAAGATGTTTGGTGAACACTTAAGAGATCTAAAAAGAGACCTGCCATTCGATCCTACAATTCCTCTACTAGGTATATATCCAGAAAACCAAAAATCACATTATAATAAAGATATATGTACCAGGATGTTTATTGCAGCCTAATTCATAATTGCTAAGTCATGGAAGAAGCCCAAGTGCCCATCAACCCAGGAATGGATTAATAAATTGTGGTATAGGTACATAATGGAATATTATGCAGCCATAAAGAAAGATGGAGACTTTACCTCCTTCATGTTTACATGGATGGAGCTGGAACATATTCTTCCTTGCAAAGTATCTCAAGAATGGAAGAAAAAGTATTCAATGTACTCAGTCTTACTATGAAACCAATTTATAGATTTCTTATGAAAGCTACAACCCAATTATAGCCCAAGAAGAAGGGGAAAAGGGAGAGGGGAGGGGGGAGGATGGGTGGAGGGAGAGTAATTGGTGAGACCACACCTACAGTGCATCTTACAAGGGTACATGTGAAATTTACTAGGTGTAGAATATAAATGTCTTAACACAATAACTAAGAAAATGCCAGATATATTCACTAGTTTGATGAAAACATTTCAAATTGCATGTAAAACCAGCACAACATACCCTGTGATTGCATTAATGTACACAGCTATGATTTAATAAAAAAAAAAAAGAGCCAATTTACCAAAAACTGTAATTATAAATATATATAAAATAAACACTAGAGCTCCAAAATGCACAATGGCAAGACAGAAAAAAGAAATAGTTTTACAATAATAGTTGGAAACTTAAATACTCCATATCAATAATGCATAAAACAACAAAGATCAGTAAGGAAATACGGTAGAACCTCTCTAAGTTGACCACCCAAGAGACTGTAACAAACTGGTCAACAAACAGGGGTGGTGGCTCGGCGCCTATAGCTCAACCGGCTAAGGCGCCAGCCACGTACACCTAAGGTGGCGGGTTCGAATCCCCAGCCCGGACCCGCCAAAACAACAATGACGGCTGCAACCAAAAAACAGCCGGGCGTTGTGGCAGGCACCTGTGGTCCCAGTTACTTGGGAGGCGGAGGTAGGAGACTCGCTTCAGCCCAGGAGTTGTAGGTTGCTGTGAGCTGTAATGCCACGGCACTCTACCCAGGGGGACAGCTTGAAGCTCTGTCTCAAAAAAAAAAAACAAAACAGGGGTGGTCAACACACAGAAGAAGTAGGCCTACTGTACTGATATGTGCACGTGGTACATATCCAGTCTACAAAAATTAGATCAGACTTCTTTGCCTACTTGCCCTGGCAATGGAAGCCCGTTTACTGTCTAGGCGAATGTATGCTGCTTTGCAAACTATCTTACTCTCTAAGCCTATCTTTCTCTTTCTCAATAAACTCTGTTTCAAAATTGCCTTAAAAAAAGAAAAAAAACAGGCTTGGTGTCCGTAGTGCAGTAAGTAGGGCGTCAGCCACATGCATCTTGGCTAGTGGGTTCAAGCCCAGCTCAGGCCTACTGAACAACAATGACAATTGCAACCAAAAAAATATCTGGGCACTGTGGCAGGCACCTGTAGCCCAGCTAGTTGGGAGGCTGAGGCAAGAGAATCGCTTAAGCCCAAGAGTTTGAGGTTGCTGTGAGCTGTGATGCCATGGCACTGTACCAAGGGCAACATAGTGATAAGGGCAACATAGTAAGACTGCTCAAAAAAAAAAAAAGGAAAGAAAATAAAAGAGAAGAAAGAAGGCAGCACCTGTGGCTCAAAGGAGTAGGGCGCCAACCCCATATACCAGAGGTTTAACGGGTTCAAACCCAGCCCTGGCCAAAAAATGCAAAAAAAAAAAAAAAAAAAAAAGAAGAAGAAGAAAGGGAAACATCTGATTGGCACAATAAACCAAGAACAATTCTTTAAAAAAAAAAAAAGATAGAAAGAAAAAGAAAAGAGAATAAAGATAAAAACAAAGAAAGAAAGAAAATTAGGTCAAGGAGAAACAAAGCAAGCTGGCAGAGTAAAGACAGTGTCTTTGCAACTGGGCACAGGGAGATTGGGGAGACAAGACTCCAGGCACCTCTGGCTTGTGGGCTCTACCCAGAAACATCTCTTTAAGGGACAGAGGGAAGCACTAGGAGTTGGCAGGA